CGGCACGGGGCTGTCGGGAGCCCTGGCCCCGCGGAGGGACCGGGCTGGTAGCAGCTCTGACCAGGCAGCCTGACGCCACCTCCCTCCTCCTCCCCCGCCCCAGTGCTGTCACGGTCGGGGTCCCAGCTGACTCCCAGGGGGAAATCTGCACAGGGCTGAAGCTGGCGCAGGTCGGGGATGCGCGGCTGGTAAGAGCTCGCTTGGCAGTGCAGGGCGGGTACGAGGGCAGCGGGACGCAGGACCTGGGCTGCAGGTCTGACAGCGGCGCTGTCGCCTGCTCCTTGGCCCCGTGCAGCCTGGTGCTGGCCAGGCCTGGGGCGCAGCCGGGGCCAGTGCTGACGGCTCGGCTCCGACGCCAGGTGGTGCCGGTGGCGGCACCGTCCCAGGGCAGCGTGGCGAGGAAGGAGGTGAAGAGAACCCGGACGTGCTACACTGTGCTGGGCTCTGCGCACGGCTGCTCCCTCCTGCAACTCCAGCCAGTGACAGGTGGGACGGGTGCGTGGCTGGGGGTGGGGGCAGGACCTGAGCACCAGGGCTAACCCTCCTGCTCCTTGCTGCAGCCTTCTCTAGCCAGCTCCTGGTGCACCTGACGCTGCTGCTGTGCCCCACGCTGGGTGACCACGTGTACTCGCCCCGGGTGGGCGCAGTCCTGGGGCAGTCCTTCCTGCTGCCGGCAGAGAGCGCGCCTCCCTGCACACAGGTACGAGCGCCCTTCCCTCGCCTCTGCTCTCAGTGGCTGGGTGGCATGCATCCTCAGTGAGCAAAGGGGCCAGGCCCTGCATGGCCCAGGGATGGCCCTGGGTCCTGGACCCTGCATGATTTTGGGGTGGGGGTGGGGCACTTGCTGGGAGTTAAGACCAGGTGCTGGCTTCCAGCTTCCTGGGATCCAGCAGTCTCTGGGCCCTTGGTCTCGCTGCCAGCCTGGGAGCAGATTCCCTGCTCTGGTGCTGCAGGGTGCCAGACTTCTGGTTCCCAACACACCTTCTCCCCTCCCAGGGAGATGGGAATCCTCAGCCTTGTCTTTGCCTGCGTCCCCTGGCGTCCTTCTGTCCTCTGAGGCAGTGTCTTGTCTGCCTCCCAACCCTCTCATGGTGCCTGCTGCCTGTCCCAGTCTTGGCACAGGGAGCAGCAGCAGCGGAGGCCGCAGTGCTGGGGAGGTCTCCTGCGGGTCGGCGGGGTCAGTCTCCCAGGCCCTGAGCCCTGCCTGTCTCTCTTGGCAGGTCCTGCCTAAGCAGGTGCTTGACAGGCTGCGCCTCACACAGCAGCAGGTGCATCTTCTGCCCTTGCATCTCCACCTGCACCAGCTGCAGCTCCCGGCAGCGGTCCTGGCTGCACCTCCCCCGCCCTTCTTCCTGAGGACGCTTCACTGCCTGGGGCTGCCTACACACCTGGAGCCGCAGGGTGGCTGCAGGCAGTAGTGGCTCCGTGGTGGCCTGTGACCTGCCTTCTCCCAGAGACTTTCTGCCCTAGGCAGTGGCGGAACAGAGGGGCTGCCTGGGCTGGGGCTGGTGTTCCTGGGATGCTGCCTCTGAGCCCTAGAAGTGTATAGCCAGGAACACGTTTCCCTGCTCCTCGTCTCGGAGGCAGGGGAGGGCTCCGGGCCCCTTGCCCCACCCCACCTGCTGCCCCAGTCTTTCCTGTTGTGCATCCTTGGGCCCCTGCTCTTACCTCCCAAGGCCCTTGGGTGTGGGGCTGAGCCCAGGCACCACCTGCTGTTTGTGGGGCGCGTGGGGAAGGGAGGTGATCGCCTGCAGCCCCCAGCTGTCCCTGCAGCTGCTGTGAGCACTGAATAAAGCAGAGCCCTGCTTGCTCTCGTGTGTCTGCCCACATCATGCGCAGGCCAGCGCCTTCCTCAGCGTCCTTTATTGGACCCCGGCACATGATCCTGTTTGGGTGGCTGGACCATAGCAGGCACTGTCTGCAGTCCCCGGGCCCAGCTGCTTCCTCACCTGTGTGGCCTGTCCCTCTTCTTCCTTCTCCTAACAGGGCACGGCTGGGAGGGCCCCAGCTTAGGGGTCGAGAGGACCCATGGGTGCCTGTCCCTGCTGCCGTCTTGGGCAGGAGCAGCTGGCACCCTGCCCCATGGGATGGCCTGGGCATATCCCTGCTGGGCCTCTGGCCCAGGGGACTCTGCAGGGCAGGGGAGCTGCCTGTAAGCTGCTGCCAAGGTGCCCAGGCCTCGCACACAGGGCTGCAGCTCCTGCCCTGGCTGCCAAACAGGCCTCTGCAGAGTCTTTCTGCAGCTGCCCCAGGAGGACTGCAGCAGGCGGCGGTGGGAGGACCCCCCCACGCGGGCAGCTGGCAGCCGGGGGCTGCCCTTGGGGCAGGGCTGGGGCTGGGATGGCAGCAGCAGCTGCTTGTCCCCCGGCAGAGAGGTGACCACGCTGGGCAGCACCAAGCGCCGCTTCTGCCCTAGCTCTGGCCTCAGCCTGCCAGGTGCCTTCAGCCTGGCGTCAGTGGGGGCAGAGGCCCTGCTGGCCACTGCCTTTTCCCGGGCCTTGCCCTCTTTGCTTGCGCCGGCACTGAGCTGCACAGGGGGTCCCACAGCCCTGGGGCTCCCAGCAGTTTTGGGCCAGCGGGGGCTGGGGTGCTGCTGGGAGCCGTGCAGACAGCCCAGTGTGGAGGCCAGGGGGCTGCGCCTGGGGCTGCTGCTGCAGTTCCTTTGGGCTGAAGCCCATGGCTTCTTCACTGTGGACCCTTCCACCAGGAGACTGATTCCCACGTACTGTGGCACGTCCACGGCAGCCTGGGGGAGGGCAGATAAGAGCAGGCTGGGGGGAGCAATGGGGAGCTTTGCACTTGCCCTACTCCTGTGTGGGAGCCTGAGTCCGCGTTCCCTCTCGGGTGGGGCAGCTGGAAGTGGTGCCAGTAGGCTCCCCAGCCTGGCTGGGCTGTGCCCCTGGCCCTGGGGATGGCTGCGAGCAGGTGGAAAAGGAAGGGGCGTGCAGCCTTGACATGGCTGTGGCTGCCAGGAAGGCCCATCGTGGGTGGCAAGCTGCCCCCCTCAGGAGGTCCCAGCCAGGGCTGGGCTCCCTGATGCTGCCTGCTGGCCCCAGGGCTGCGGGTCCCCTGCCATGCTGGTTGTGCTCCGCCGGGTGTGCCGCGGCGCGCTCACCTGCTTGTAAATGAGTTCGAAGGCGCCGGTGGGGCAGGTGCGGTCGTGCCTGCGGTCGATGACGACACGCAACGTGTCAGCTTGCACGCCGGCGCACAGCCGGCTGGTCACAGCTGTGGAGGCTGCCATGGTGGGGCTGGCATTGACCTCTAGGAGCCAGGGCTTAAAGTCCTCCCCAAAGATGAAGTCAGCGCCATAGAGCTCGAAGCTGCCCTTGTGCAGCTCCACGACGTCCTGTGCGCTCTGCACAGCGTGGATGATGGCCACCTTCATGCCCGGCACCATTACATCCTGCCAGGCCGCCCCTGCCCCCGCCTGCTGCAGGTGCTCCTGAAACTGCTGCGACGACCACATGTTGCCAGGAGGCAGGCGCGGGTGGCGCTGGAGCGAGGCCTCGTAGTGTTTCTGGATGGAGTTGTTGCACAGGTGGACGGCACTGGGGCAGAGACGGCACAGCTGGCACCAGCCCTTGCCTCCTGCTGCTGGCACGGCCCTGGCCCCAGAGGGAGTGCCATTGCTTACGCGTCCAGGTTGTGCAGGGAGAAGGGCTGCGTGGAGAAGCGCAGGTAGCTGTCGCGGTAGAACCAGATGGTGAGCGGGTTCCAGTCTGTAACCAAGAACCACTGGCGCAGGTCGAACTTGGTGCCGAAGATGAGCAGGGGCCTCTCGATGTACTTCTGCACCACCCACTTCCCGTCCTTCACCACAATGGGGTCGCAGTTCACCAGCCTCAGCATCTCCTCCAGGCGTGCCATGCACACGATCCCTGCAGCAACGCAGCACTTGATGCCATCCTGGCCGGCCAGCCAGCCTGCCCTTTCCTCCTCGGGAACAGCTCCAGCTGCAGAACCCTTGCAGGGACACCCAGCCCGAACGCTGTCCAAGCCTGGGAGCACCAGCTGCCTGGCCAAGGACATTCCTCGCTGGACACACTCCAGGTACTGGGAGCCGGGAGCTTGGGGGCAGCAGGGCTCAAGGATCTGGAGCTGGAGCTGCGCAGTCCAGGGGGCTGGTGCTGGGTGAGGAACAGGCGCATCCCCTGGGGCAGGGGCCCCTTACCTCTGCCACGGGACTTGGCTCCAGGCTTCACGATCCAGATGTTGCGGTCCCCCTCCATCTCCAGCTGTGGCAGCAGCTCCCGCAGCTGCTGCAGCATGTCTTGGCACTGCTCAGCATGGGCGGGCGACAGCTCCAGGGGTGCCCCCTCGCTGCAGTCAGACACGGCTGCTCAGAGCCAGGGGCCGAGCAGCCCCCTGCCCAGCTCACCCCGGTCCCCAGCACTTACTGCACCACGCAGTAGTAGCCACGCAGGAACTCCTCCCAGCGGGCATCTGCCCTAGCTGGGGCCAGCTCTGCCGCCTTGTCGATGTCCTGGTGCCGCAGGCTGTTCAGGTGCTCCTCGCAGGCCTGCAGCGCCGTCTCCACCAGCCGCCTGGGGAGCGGGCTGCCCCGCCGCCGGGCAGCCCCCCGCAGGGACACTGCAAGGGGGAGCAGCAGGGGGCTCCCTGCTTTGTCTGGCAGGCCTTGCCCCCCAGGCCCACGATGCAGCAGGGAGGTCAGTGAGGTGTGTGGAGCTGGCTGGGGGCTCAGTGGTCTCTGGGGCAGCTAAAGCAGGCTGTGGGGGCTGTGCTCTGGGCCTAGCAGGGCACCAGAGGACCAGGCACCCCCTGCATGTCCTCTCCTCCTGGATACCGGGGGCAGGGGCAGCTGTCCGGCTGCCCCCAGCTGGCTCCAAGGGAGGAGAGGGTCAGCTTGGCCCTGGCATTGTCACGTCCCTGGTCCCGTGTCCACCACCTACCAGGGGATGTGCTGGCCTCTGGGGGCCCCTCGTGTGTGGAGTTGGCCCCGGCCTCCCGAGCAAGCGGGCCACCGGCCCTGCTCAGCACCACCTTCAGCAGGCTGCGGGCAGCAGTGAGCCGGAAGTCCTCTGTGGCGGCAGGGGGAGAAGGTGTCAGCTGGCACGGGTGGCAGCGAGGGGGTGGCATCTGACCCTGGGAGTGGCTCTCACCAATGAAGGCCTGCTTGTCGTCCTCGGCGCCCAGCCGGTAGCAGCGGGGGAAGAAGGCGTCGGCGTCGGCCTGGTCGAACCAGGGCAGGTTCCGGAGGTTGAGGCACAGCCCCACCTGTGGGGACGGCAGCCGGGCCTGGCGAGGCAGCACCGGGGGGCGGCCCCCCCGCCCCGTGCGC